TAATCCAAGATGATTGTATAATCCCCGGAAGTTTAAGGAAACCATGAACTCTGGAAGAATTTCTTTACTATAAGATGTTTGTGCTCTCGGTAGATTAATGAATAATAAACCATTTATTAATAAACAAGAAACTAATTATAAGATATTAATTCTGTTGCTGACATCAACATAAATAAGACTAACTCGGAATTAATATAAATGATAAAAATGCCTTGTTTTATTTTAGATTAAAGCTTTGCTAACAGTAACAAATACATGTTTTTAGTGTTTCTTTCTCAAAGGCTAATGCTATTTGATGTTTTTGAAAAATTTTCATGAAATAAAATGCCCTTGGGAAAACATCTTAACATCTAAAATAGTTAAATTGTAAAGTGTGAATGTTTATATATGTTTTTCCGTAGGGAGAGATATAGGCTATATACAGATAGAAACCAAGGACTTATTCTAGTTTAAGAAACTGAATACCCTAACCCTTACCATCAACTCTCAGAGATTAGATCAATATTTACCATTCTAGCTCGGTAAATAAACTTAATAAAATGTTTTCTGAAAAGATGCTCAGCGTAAAGTAGACTGTTCCAACCTCTTGTATTTGGAAAACATAATTTCAAACATTTCCTGCTCAACTCATCAAATATTTGATATTTTGATATTTAAACAAAATCTGAAATCTCCTTCCCCCTCACCACTGAACCCCCAAATGTTACACAAAAATAATATCATAAATTTCAACGGCTTGTCTGCTAGATGTATTAGCCTATATATAGGTTTTAAAAAGAGTATATGTGCAGCAGTGAAAACACCCTCCTCCCAGGGGGGGGGGGGATAAATTTCAGCCAACCTTACATTTTACACTTTTTTAATTGCATGTGTTTATGTACTGTGATGTTTAGCAATATATAAGGGTTTGTTATTGAAGCATTTATAATGGAAATATGAAATTCATCGGGTTTTGATGTAAATTTTTATTTTTTTGGTTTACTTCCGTTTATGGTTTTTCTATCTCTGATAGTTGGTTTCAAATTCGAACTTATTACTCGCTACAAACTCTGATTCTCTAATTCTTATAATTTTGCAGACTGATGTTGATTTTCAAACTTTGACTATTTAACTTAACAGATTTTTTTTTGCAATATCAAAGGTCTACGACTTCAGGTTGCAGAGATATAAGGATTAGAACTTTTTTGATGCAAAGGTTTAGTTCCATTGTTGCTCTACAGTCTACGCCTACTTTTCTGTAAGCAAGGTGAATAAAGTTCTAACATGTCATCTGTCCATAAATATTTAATATTTGTATAAATAATCAATATTAACACATATTTATCTATATTTCTCATCTTTATCTTTACATATATATTACTATCTATCTATCTTTTATCAATTTTTGTTATCTGTAGGATTTGGTTCTCTTTCTATATTTATCGATTTTCTGACAAGTCACGCAATCGACTCTGATATCTTTATACAGCTACATACAACTAAGAGGAATATGTAATGTATTAATTATTGTTTTCAGTGTCACTTTAGACGCTGGAAAAATGTAAAAACAAGCTTTAAATATACCTGGATACAAGTCTCAAATATACCTGGATACAAGTCTCAAATATACTTGGCTACAAGTCTCCAATATACCTGGATACAAGTCTCCAATATCCCTGGATACAAGTCTCCAATATACATGGACACACGTCTTCAGTATATTTGTTACAGGTCTCCAATATACCTGGATACAGATCTCCAATATACCTGGATAAAAGTCTCCAATATACCTGGATACAAGTCTTAAATATACTTGGATACAAGTCTCCACTATACCTGGATACAAGTCTCAAATATACTTGGATACAAGTCTCCAATATATCTAGATACAAGTCTCAATATACTTGGATACAAGTCTCAAATATACATGGAAACACGTCTCCAGTATATTTGTTACAGGCCTCCAATATACCTAGATACAAGTCTCCAATATACCTGGAAACAATTTCAAATATACCTGGATACAAGTCTCAAATATACCTCGATACAAGTCTCCAATATACCTGGATACAGATCTCCAATATACCTCGATACAAGTCTCCAATATACCTGGATACAGATCTCCAATATACCTGGATACAAGTCTCAAATATACTTGGATACAAGTCTCCAATATACCTAGATACAAGTCTCAAATATACTTGGATATAAGTCTCCAATATACCTGGATACAAGTCTCAATATACTTGGATATAAGTCTCAAATATACTTGGATACAAGTCTCCAATATACATGGAAACACGTCTCCAGTATATTTGTTACAGGCCTCCAATATACCTAGATACAAGTCTCCAATATACCTGGAAACAAGTCTCCAATATACATGGATACAAGTCTTCAATCATCCTGAATATAAGTCTCCTATATAACAAGATATATGTCTCCAATACACCTGGATACAGGTCTCCAATATAACTGGATACAAGTCTCCAATATACCTGGATACAAGTCTCAAATATACCTCGGTACAAGTCTCCAATATACCTGAATACAAATCTCCAATATACCTGGGTACAAGTCTCCATTATACCTGGATACAAGTATCCAATATACCTGGATACAGATCTCCAGTATACCTGGATACAAGTCTCCAATATACCTGGATACAGGTCTCCAATACAAGTACAAGTCTAATGCAATGTCGAATAAAAGTTGTCTGTATATCTTGATACAAGAATTTGAAGAACACAAAAGATTTCCCGGATTAATATCATGTATTCTCATCTCTGTTCCAAGACCTGGTTTAGTATTTCAATACTTAGCTTTGTAGCAATGTTTACAGTATTAAGAAGGGTTACCATGAGGATGAATAAATATTGTACAAACTAAATAAAGATATGTTTCACCAGTTGATTGTTTAATTATAGTATAAAAATTAAAAATTAAAAAGAAATATTGGCTATTGATATGGGAGGTTTTTTTTCAGCTTTGGAGTGATGCGTTTGTTTCGGTATTATATGCCAAGTAAAGTGTAATGTGTAGGTGGGTTGTTTTATATGCTCAGGTGCATGGTATTATGTGCTAGGTAAAGGTGCACTGTGCGTGAACATAGTGTTAAGTTAAGCTGAAAAAGTCTTTAGACCAGAGCTGGAAACTCTTGTATTAAGATCAATGCATGATATTAATCTTTTGTTAATCTGCAGATTAATTTAAACTTTATTCGATATCCGCAGCGCAATTTTATCCTGAAGGGATAACTGAAATGAAGAGATCAAGCACGGATCCTCAAACTAAAAGTGCACACTGTAGATATTGAGATCTGTGGATCGGGATTATGCGTATCCAACAGAAAAGTTCTCAGTTCTGGTAGAATAAGCGATGGTATCTAAGTAAAGAAAAAAAAGTAATGTTATCCAAGTGAAAATATATGTTTATTAATATAAGATATAAAGTGTAAGCTAAGTGAATTAAGGAAGAAAGAGAGAATAAAAATGAATATTCTTTTCTTTTAAGTTTAGAAGTTTTCAATCTATAGCAATGTTGAGCAAGATGAATTTCACTTCACTGCAAAATTAAAAGGCCTCCAGCACAACTTCTAACAACGATTCTTTGGAAGAAAATGTTCTTTGTTCTCAACCAGACCCAGAGTAAATACAAGAGTTTTAATGACGAGCTAACTAGGACGGTTAAAATGTTAAGATTGTTTTACGGTGTTTGCTTTCAGTTTCATAATTCTGAGGAATGGAACATTTTGATTCAAGGGATGTTCAACCAAATATTATTTAATTTTTTTAAAAGATAATTTTTAAACCTTTTTAAAGTATTGATAATTGAGATATCTTTGTTCTTCTATTTGAAAATTTAAAACTAGCTTAATGGCTTCTTATGGGGTAAGCGACTTAATTATTTCTCCCCTTTCACTTGTTAAATAAGAGTTTAAAGGGCACTGTTGTGAAACTTAAAATAAATAAAAAATCTGAAAAAGTCTATCAAGCCTTATTGATTTAGTTTAGATTTAGGATAACATAATAAATAGATAGATAGATTATAGCTACAGATACTCCAGGGTTAGATCTTGGAGACGTAATGGGGCCCGTTGGAACAAAATTTAAATTTTGGGTTGGGGTGAAGGGGAGGAGATTGATTAGAATTATCGGACATGTTAACTACAAGAGGCTGGAACATAAGAATGCGTGACGGTGTTTTTATTTAAAACATTCAAGAATACAAACATTCTAGAGTGGTCTCGTTTGGGTATATTTTTGAGAAGTCTAAAGGTGTGTGTACGTTGTAGAGCTATCCCAAGCTAGATTTGTGTATGTTAGCGGTCTGAAAATTTTGGTATGTTTTAGAGTAATCTCAATATGCTTTAGTTACAGTGTATTGAAGGTTTGGGTTTGTTTTGGAGCAGTCTAAAGCTTAAGGTATGTTTTAGAGTGGTATGAAGGTTTAGGTATGTTTTAGAGTGGTTTGAAGGATTAGGTATGTTTTAGAGTGGTTTGAAGGTTTAGGTATGTTTTAAAGTGGTTTGAAGGTTTGGGTATGTTTTGTGTTCAGTGGACAACAAATTGATAACCTCGACTAATTTCAAAATGCTGAATAAAGTTTCTTCTAAAATATATTTTACTACATGAAAGAATCTAGAAACTATGCATTAATTTAACCTAGATAAAAGAACAACAAACAAAGCTAAATTCTTTTTTTTAAAGTTTTCACTGACAGAGAATGCATATTTTGAAAAGATTTGGATTAAAAACATGGTTATTTGGACAGTTAAATCGTAATCTAGTTCCTGATACTCTAACTACTCTATCTACTGAAACTACATTTTTAATAAATCCTTTACAAAGTTTGTCCGGAGAAAGCTAGTCTATTAGAGAAAGAACGTCAATTTTTACGTAAAGGTATCGAGGTCGTATACACCTGACTTCCTCCAGGTAAAAAAAAGTCCTCTGGGATCAATTAACCAGTCGGAGAAATATTATCTAGGTTCAAGAAATTAAATATTATCACTATTTTACCTTTAGCATAAGATACAGTGAGGTAAGCTAGAAGCAGAACACTTGTAATACTCCTCCACGCCATATTTAACTGGAGGGTTGGTTCACTGTGTTTAGTTTAACCCTGTTCAATCATCTTATCAGCAGGGATACTGTGAGACTACTGGAGCTAGGTACAGTCCGGTCCTCCACAGCTCTCGACCCAACCCGTCCCTGTTACACTACTCTACCCGGTAGAACTAAAACCAAAGACCAACACTATATTATTTGTAAAGATCTACAAGGACACGACGGTAAATTATTGAACGTTCATGAAACGCAACAGGAGAAAGGATATTTTCAACTTTGCTATGCTTGCCATATTTGTAACTTTTTTATTTACAAGTGACATCTTCTTCTTCCTCAAGACTTCACGCCGTTCACTCTTTTGAACAAGCAAACATATGCTAGACTTTATTAGCTCTTACAATCAAAATCATTAGAATAATTTAGAACAGTTCCAATATTACAAAAATTCTATAATCTACATATAGCGTTCATCAGAATACAGTGGTATATGAAGACGATATGATCTTATCTATGGTTAAAAATACTCAAAAAAATACTTTATTTAACCAAGAGAAATTTTGCAGATTTTTTGCCGACATTACATCCCATTTTATTCTAATAACAACGTTATTTAATTTTAAAAAGAAAATTTTTAAACCACTTTTGGGTCGTGTTTTTAATAGATTAACAAGAAGAAATAAATCTAAATAAGGAAGAAAAACGGTTAAGTAGAGGTAGAATATTTATGTCTCTTTTACATTCACCTATTTGTTGTTTATCTATCTATTTACGAGTAGCGGAGTATATAAATAAAGAAAAGTTTAAAATTCCAGGTTTTGTTGAAATATTTATATCCATCGAATATTTATATCCAGGATCTAGGAACAGTTTGTATTTTGTTAGACGAGTTTAGTTTTCTAATATTTCATTATCAGAATCAAATATCAGTTCACACACGGTGCAATAAACATTAAGAGCGTTAGTGCGTTTTTAGTGAGTTCTCAGCTCTTGTTCAGACCATTGAAAAAATGTATTATTAACCAAACAATATATAAATATATTTTTATATATATATTTTTTTATTTATAAATATATATATATATATATATTTTAAAAAAGGAAAATAAGTGGAGTATTTTTTTTAAAAAGGAAAATCATTGCATTTTTTAAAAAATACGCAATATGTGATGAAAAAAGCTTGGAATTTTAGTTGTTCAAAGAATTGTAATTACTGAGGATCGTCATGATATACGTGAAACATTATGTTCAGTATAATTCTTTTTTAATAAAAAATGTGAAGTTAAAACTGAAATATATATATATATATACTTTGCTTGTCTTGGTGGGCGTTTTGTTTGTATCCAATAAACGTGAAAACGGCTGAACCGATCCGGCCCACATTATTTGTGGGACCTCACATGACACCAGAGAAGGTATAAGGTGTAAGGTAAGGTGTGTGCTTAGATTTATGTAAAATTTTGAAAATCCACGAAAAAATGTAAACCCGCATATTTTTTTAAATTGCTTCCTCGAAGAGAAAATGCTGATAGGTTGAGCAAAAATTAAATTTGAAAAAGAAGCGTCCTGATAGTGTTGTGTTTTATATTCTATTAGGCAAAATGAAAACTGTACCACCCCACCTTCACTTGAAGATTTAGAGCACTGTGTACGAATATTCTCTTGCTAGAAAATAGAAACATTACACCAAGAGCTGAACCTAACTTTGTTTATGCAATTTCTAAATTAAAAGGAAATAAATTGAACGTCTAGATATAAATTGAAGATTTGTATTTTATTTTTCTCCAGAAACAAATATTTAAACACATACAAATGATTTTCCCAGAAATAAAGGAAAAAGAAAATAGTTTTATAAACATAAATGGTTGGAAACAGATGTTCTCCTAGAGATATGCTATGTCAACTTGGAGCCTAGAGCTCTTCTCTCCTTAACTAAATGCTAATGACGGATTGCCAAACGCAGGGGGCTGTGAAGGTTTCGGGAGTAGGGTTGGGACATAGCAGCTAGGATCAGAGCTAGATATATGGATGAGAAAATAAGAAAAAGTAGAAAAGGTCCAAGATTAGATACAAATTTGGAAGATGGAATTAGGATGTAGGATCAGATAGATAAAATAGTAACTCAGGAAAGGGGGTTAGAAAGATAGTATCTGTGGAAAAGGTTAGAAAACAGGATTAGTGGATATGATTAGAATACAGGATCGGGAGAAAGGATTTGAAGGTTATGATGAGATATAACTATTAAAAGATAGAATCAGTGGAAAAGATTGGAAGTCAGGATCAGCGGAAACTATTGGAAGATAGGATCAGAGGCAAGTATTAGGAAGATAGAATCAGTGGAAAAGATTGGAAGATAGGATCAGAGGCAAGTATTAGGAAGATAGAATCAGTGGAAAGAATTAGAAGAAAGGATCAGGGGAAAAGATTGAATGATTAAATTACAATAATTGATCTGAAGATAGGATCAGCGGAATAATTAGAAGATAGGGTGAGAGGATTTATATAGGAAAAGATAAGAATAATATGATATTTAAAGAAAAGAAACATAATATGTAATTGAAAAAGAATCCGAGGAAATAATTAGAATAGAAGAGAATTATAAGTTAGAATTAGAGGAAAGTATTAAAAAATACTAATAGATCATATTGATCAATATAGAGAATAAAGAATGGTATTATTATCCAGATTGTGAATGAAAGAAGATCTAGTATGAAAATTATATCAGAAGTTAGATTCTGGAGATATGGTTCAGATAAAGTTTAGAATCAGATACTTGGAATAAACATGGGAGCAGGCTGGGAGCAGGAGGGAGATAAAATAATCAGAAAAGAATTGGGTTGAGCACATAAAAGAACTTATGGCCAGATTCTGCATCACCACAAATAAAAATAATCAATTTTCATATAGAAAGGATTTTTTTCCCGGACAAAGGTTGAAAGAGAAGGGTGAATCAGACATGCCACTCTATAAAATACGTCTGCAATCTCTTTGAAGGATCCGGATTGAGGTTATAGACTGGGTCCAGTAAAGGTTAAGCAGAAAAGATATGAATATTCGATAAATAAGATAAGGGATCGAATAATAATTAATTAAAGATGGATCTATGGGAAAGAATCAGGAGATTATGGGCTTTCAGAGTCACGGAAAATGCATATATGAGGAAAAAGGTTTAGGGGGATTGAATCAGGAAATATGGATTGGAGATCAATACCAAGAGACGAGCGGAGAAGAGCCATGCAAAAACAGACTAAAAAAAGTTTATGGTAAACAGTTTTAAATGTTTTAAATATGCAGAGAGAGAAAAGCTAGCATCGTTATCTAGTGGATGACCTAGCAAGGAAATACTGGTTTTGGGGTTGGAGAATTGGGGGGGATCAACGGTTGAACTGAACTCATTTTAACCCCCCAAGGTTGGTCCCAGGGCGTTTACATACCAATGAGACATATTCAATGTGTATTATTCACTATCTGCTAGGACTAGATCCGCATCCAAACAACCCGAGTTTCAAGTAGCAGTATGCATTGGGTTAATTTATTTTTAGTTTTATACATTTGTAATTGTAGTCTGTTTTTTTGGACGAGGCTGGAAAAAAATCTTAGAGGGAATTGAATTGAAATTGAATTTTGTGTACCGTCCCGGTTTGTCTTATATAGTCTGTATTGTACTGTACTGCTTGCTCTAGCAGTTTAAAAGTCGGCTCTGTGCTTGAAATGAACCAGAGTTTACAATAGGAAAAGGAATTGAGTTTTTGCCACAAACTCCGATTTTATAAAGAGTTTCAAGTAGCAGTATGCATTGGGTTAATTTATTTTTAGTTTTATACATTTGTAATTGTAGTCAGTATTTTTGGACGAGGCTGGAAAAAATCTTAGAGGGACTTGATTCATTTTGTGTACTTTCCCGGTTTGTCTTAAATAGTCTGTATGTGTACTGTACTGCTTGATCTAGTAGTTTAAAAGTCGGCTCGGTGCTTGAAATGAACGGGAGTTTACAATAGGAAAATTTACTGTTTGTTTATTGTTTCAATTCCTTTATGAGAAATTTAGCGACAGTAGTATTTTACTGAAAAAAAAATCCTATCAAATATTTTTATTTCTGTTCGCTAATTGTTTATATGTTAGGTATAGTAAGAAAAAAAAGTAATTTACCTCTAAAATATTTTTTTTGAGAAGGAGATATTTAAAACCTTCCAAAAATAGAGGTTTCCCCTAGTTTACATATTTATTTTTACATTTAGAATTTAGAAGTGGTTGATTGTAGTCTTTTTTGATTATAAACTTGATGTAATAGGATTTGTAAATCTTATAGTATTATTGAAAAATAGGAATTATATAAACTCATGAAAGTTACTGAATCCTATAAAACAATTATCCCCGAGTTTTGTGAATGTATATTTATATATATAAATACTATGTACAATATATAATGTTGGTTAGTTTAATCTTACCCTGCCGTGAATGGAAGATATGGAAAGGACAGATCAAACCAATATAGATATAATCTCAACCATTCATATCCACACAAACACACAAACAAAACGAACAAACAACACCAAAACATCCTAAATATAAATTTTACTGCTGTAACCAACGAAAAAAATGTCCGCGTTAAAATATAAACTTTTTAAATTTGGTCCATTTTTTAACGAATTTTGAAATTACCCTTTTACTTTTACACTGATGACGTAAATAGAAGTGATGGTCCCTGGAATTAATGAGAAAATCTAAGATATTATATCTATAATATATATATATATATATACTCTGCGTACATATTGAAACCAGTTCTCTCTGGGTGGAATTTGTAAACAAGAATAGATGAATCAGTGTTGGAAAGTTAATTGCGGTCGCGTATACTCTGCATACATATTAAAACCAGTTCTCTCTGGGCGGAATTTGTAAACAAGAATAGAAGAATCAGTGTTCGTTTAGTATCCGAGGAGGTTAAAAGCATTTAATTTTGATAATTTTGAAATTTAACAAAGTAGTTTCCTATGATCAGAATATTTCAATTTATTTTTGTCAGCCTGCGACATCCGTCTTGTGTTTACTTTTCCGCCCAAAGACAGTACACTGCAGTACAAAAAATGTGTACACCTCTGAAATA